GCAGGTTGTGCTTCATTCTGCATTAATAACTTTTTGGTCCTTTGTTTCTGAAGAAAAATTTAATTTTTCGTTGTTTTGATAGAGGAAGAAGAGCCTGCTCCAATTAAAACATTCAATACCAAGTTAACCCATTCAGTGCCGCTCGTGAGTTAACTCTTTTTCTCGGGGAGCATTTTTCTTTCTGAATGCCTGTTTTGTTAACTGGTTTTGAAGCAACCAATCATGAAGCAGCATTTATCCAAGCCTGTAGCCTCACTTTTAAGCAATAAATATGTGTTTCCATTTCCTGCTTCTCGTGCAATAAATTTTTTATCAAGGCGTGCAGAAACCCAGCAAACCAAAATGGTGGAGCGAAAAAGAAAAGGCTACCAGCAGCTGATGCATTGAGTTTTTATTCAACATTGAGTCAGAAAATAAAAATAGTAGTGGTTCTAGTGCCACAGATGTACAATCGACCAGTGAAAGTGCTTCAGGAGGTTCTGATACTGACAGCACTTTGACTAAAACTTTGTGTAGCGGTCGTTAAAAAGGCGACAAATGATCTCTTATTTCCCGTAACGTTTGCGATGTTTATGGCGGTAGTGACACTGGATCAAGTAGTGGCACTAACATGTGGAATTCAACAGTATAACAACCAGTTGTGGATATGTTTTCTCATGAAAGTGGTGTGCAGTTAAGTTTTGGTGTTTCAATTAACTCTGTTTTCTGTTTTACTGCTTTCGTTACTGAAAGCATGGTTGAAAAATAGTTGAGGAAACAAATTGTTATGCTAGTGAAATCGTCAGCTCAGGAAGTTTCACTGATAATTCTCATATGAACAACTGGAAAGAGACAACAGTAAGTGAACTTTTTGAACTGTTTGCATTTATTATGTTCATGGACATAATAAAAAAGCCAATGCTGTCGATGAATTTTTCAACTAACCTGCTTTCAATACCATTTTTCGCATTTTCGATAGCTAAAAACCAATTCCTGTTGCTGCTGTCTTGCTTACATTTTGCCAATGATTCTGAAAAAATTGACAGAATGAATAAACTACCTCCGGTAATTGACCACTTGATAGAAAAGTTCAAAACTGTGTATCTGCCTGAAGAACATATCTGTATTGATGAATCACTGATACTGTGAAAAGGCAGGCTTGGTTTTTGTCAGTATATACCCACTAAGGATCACCTTTCGGTGTCAAAAGTTATGAACTGTGTGAAAGTTTGACTGGATATGAGTGGGATTTTTTGATTTACACAGACAGCACAACTGAATACACAGAACAAGATGGTCAGGGAGAAAAAGTTGTTCTACCTTTAGTTGAACCTCTGCTCAGCAAAAATAACAAACTTTATGTAGATAAATATTTCAACAGCCCAAAGCTGCAGAAAGGTTGCTTAAATTGAAAATGTGTGTTTGTGGCACTGTGAATAAAAACAGAGTTAACTTGCGAAGATGTTTTCTCACAAAAAATTGAACAATGTGAACATGAGGTTATAGAAAAAAATGGTATGTGTTTTTTGGCGTGGAAAGACAAATGTGATATTTTTATGCTCAGTACAATGCACTGTGATAACTGGTGTGAAACCAGAAAGGTTGACAGGCAAACGAACGCAAAGATAGTAAAACCAAGCCGTGTTGTTGACTGAAATTCTCACATGGGTGGTGTTGACATTTGTGATAGTGTAATGCATGTGTATCCAAGTATGGGTAAGTGTATCAAATGGTATACAAGAAAATTTTCTTACATATGTTAGATATTGCACTGTATTACTCACTGGTAGCGTACAAGGCTTGTGGGAAGAACATCTCAATGTTGGTTTTTCGAGTTAGTGTAATACGATCGCTAATTGAAAAGTACCATGTAGGTCGTGTGCGAATCAGTGGTGGCTATCCATCCCATGAAAACCCACTACCTTTTCAAGAGCAGCATTTTCCTGCATATATTCCAGCTACAGAAAAGAAACAGAACCCCACTAGAATGTGCAGAGTATATTCAACAAATGGCATGTGTGGATGAACTGAGATTGAGGTTAGTAGGCTTTTACATAGGCCGTTTTACGTATTAAAACGGCCTATGTAAAAAGCCTACTAACCTCAATCTCAGTTCATCCACACATGCCTCAAAGACTAAAATCCAAAGTACATATTGTATAGCAAAGTAATTTTTTATTTATTAAATTTTTTTTATATTTATATAATATTATTTATACAATGAATTTTTTAAAATTTAAAATGGAGTATTTTTCAATTTTTAACTATTCGATAGCATTTGTAGCTCTTATCTCATGAACACTATTAAGGAGATATGCATAGCAAACCTAGTGCATCTTAAGAACAAATTTGTAGTATGAACAGTCATTTAAAATGTATTCGCTTGCAAAGTACTCGGGAAGCATTTGTATACGTTACTAGCAAAGTATGAAATCTGTTATTCTATAGAATACCTGGGCATTTTATAGAATTCTAAAAACTGGCCGCCAATGTACGAAATGATTAAACATTTCATACATTGTCTAGGCATTCTGTAGAATGTCAAATGCCAAACCAGCAAAGTACAAAATACATCTCCGATTTGTTTCAAACAACCAGAACTACTTAGCAGAAGTTAATACATGATGTAAAAAAAGCCAATATAACAGTTAAGAAGTAACCACAGGACTACTGGTCACTTAATTGTTATGATGTGATGAATATGGAAAAGAAAAGTGAATTCATTTATCCTGTTACAGAAAGCATCAGTACAATGTTGTATTATGTCATGGGCACGGATTTCTTTTATGCACTACATGAAATTTTATTTGGTAATTGGACTCGGAGGATGTGACAGAATGTTGGAAAAACATTCAAGCAAATACAAAAATGCTACATGAAATGATTTTGAACTGTAGATCCATCATTGTGAGCCCTCCCTGGAAAAAAAAAAAAAAAAAGTATTTAAAAGGACAATTTGTGAAACATATGACTTCTGAATTTAATTCACATTGTCAAGTGGATCTTAGATTTCCAGGCTCAGCCAGATAGGGAATACAAATTTATCATGGTGTACCAAGATGATCTCACTCACGTATTTTGAATAACATTTCTAATGGCAGTCTTTCATTATTTTTTCAAAATAATTTGTAATTTTTGGAATGAATGTCTCTTAAATAGTAGCCTTAATCATGAACCTTTTTTCTTACTTCATTTAAAGAGCATTTATCATTCTATAGAACAACTAGGTATTGTATATAATGCCTAGGTAAAGTATATAATTCTCAGATTTCATATCATGCCCCAAAACACCAGGCATTCTCTAAAATGTCTAGGTATTCTATAGAATATCAGTATTTTATATATTGTTGTTAACATATATATACATACATGAATACAATGGGTCACTGAAGTATGTGACCACTTCACACAATTTGCAGTTTTAAAGGATTTAAAATGCTAAATGCTGTTAAAAATAATCATGTTATCTGAAATTTGATATAATATGCAAAAGTTAACTATTTCAACATAGAAGGGAATCATACATATAAATAAACAATTTTTTTAAAAAAAGAGCTAAATTAGGTAGTCACAAAAGTATTCAACCACCAATTAAAAAGCATACAGATTTAGTAATCATACGTAGCTGTTTAACTAAATTATAGTCAAACTGCTCAGTATAATGGTTAGTGCTGCTAGCTGTCAAATTTTTGGGCCTGAGTTCGAAGAAGGGTTGCATGTTTGCAAGAGTATATTATCGGTGCAGCATGGGAATTCTTAAAATAGTGGTGAGCCAAAAGCCCTCCCGAGAGATTTAGTTTTAGGGAAAGAGGGCTGACACACCTTGCAATCCATCCCTCAGGGTGTTCTCTATCAAACTGGAATGAAGCTTTCCTGTTCTTATGGGTGTAAAATTCAACAGTGCAAAATATGTTCAAAGATTCAGAGAAGAAAATTAAACAGTAAATCTCGATCAAGAAATAAAAATTCTAAAACATCATAAAGACAGGCAAGTTGTTCGATGTGCCAAAGCAAATCCTGCTGAACTAGCAAGATTTTTTTCTAAAGTTGCAGCATTTTCTGGTAAGAACATAAGCTCTGAAAAAAAAAAAAAAAAAAAAAAAAAAGCATCAAATATTATGAAATAATGAATACAGAGGCCAGAATGCCAGACGGAAGGCATGAATTCTTGAATATAATTAGGGGGAATAAATAAATAGATAAAAGGATTCTGGAAACGTATTTGATAAAAATTATAATTTCTAAAATACCATTATTTTCAGGGATGAATGTGAATTTGAATGCTTCTATTCAAGTAACAGGAAAGTTGCTTGATAAAAGTTTGAATAGAAAATTTTTAAAAAGCAGGACATTTCAGTTCAGCCATCTTACTAATTTAGTACTTTCCTTTTTAGCTAACAACATTTATATTATTTTACAAGCATTTTTACTGTTTTAAAGTTCTACATTATGTGGAAAAGTAATTTTAGAAATCCTTCTTTCCTTTCTTTCATTGTCTGTTTAATAAACATAACTACATCATATGATATAGTTAAATAATTAGAATATAAAAACAATTATATCAAATTATGCTGTAATAAAAAAAAATAGTTTTTGTTTAGTCTACAACATAAATATATATCTTAATTGTCTCCATTTAATTTGCCCAATGGCAAGAATTACAATTATATGTGGTAAACCACAGAGTGTCTGCCATGTTGTGTACTCTTCAATAAATTCATTCATTAAAGAAATCAAACATTACTTAGAACAGCAAAACCTGAGCTTTAAAGTTTTCCTAATTATCAATAACGCTCCAAGAAAACACAGTACTGCAGTCCTTCCACGAACATCACTTCCTTAATTCCACAACAAAGCACAAAAATAAACTGGAGATGAAATGCTAAATAGTTTAGGCCCAACATTTTAGATAACATTATAGTTTACATGCAAAGCAAAAGTTGAATATATTAAAATTCATATTACTTACATTTAAAGACATTTCTATGGTATGTTTGAGACATTTAATTTTGAACTCTTACCTGTAGGAATTATGAGTGAAAGACCAGACACAGATGCAGATTTAATTACAGAACGAGTACTTTGCTTAGTCATCGGAGATATCGGAGGAATGGAAATGCGGCCCGAAGACGGAGGTGGGTTTGCCTGAGGAGATACTTTTGCATCTGTTTCTTCAACAGGAGACAGCTCTTTGTGATCTTCTGGCATTATATCACATTCTGTGCTGATAGAAAATCGAGGCAAGTTGTCTTTTGAACCAAGATGGCTTAATTTTGATGTGATAAAGTGTTTCTCACTATCAAGATTAAGCATGCTTGTAGACAATGACTTTCCATTCCTAAAATTGAATGGTTTTTTATAAACTACTGCAATAAGCATAACTATACAATTTACACATCACATGACAAAAAATTACTTTCATACTTATTTTATAATATTTAAGTTCTGAATAATTATTTATACATTTCAGAATTTTTTTAGAAATAAATAATTACAGCAATTCAGACTCTTGTTCCTAGTCACTATAAAATAAGCTGAAATGATTTTCATTGGCATTAAATTTGGAAACTCTTAAATTTTCTCAAAACTGATAAATTATTACAAAAGTTATCAAATTGAGGTATCTTCATAATGATGTTCAGATATTTAAAATTAAATCTCAGAAAAATAAATAAACAAATACTGAAGTGACAAAAGTCATGGGATATCTCCTAACATTTTGTCGGTCCTCCTTTTGCCCGGCGAAGTGCAGCAACTCGACATGGCATGGACTCAACAAGTCTGAAGTCCCCTGCAGGAATATTGAGCCATGCTGCCTCTATAGACCTCCATAATTGTGAAAGTGTTGACGGTGCAGGGTTTTGGGCACGAACTAACCTCTCGATGATGTCCCATAAATGTTTGATGGTTCGGGCGATCTAGGTGGCCAGATCATTCGCTGGAATTCTCCAGAATGTTTTTCTAACCAATCGCGAACAATTGTGGCCCGGTTACATGGCTCATTGTCATCCATAAAAATCCCATCGTTGTTTGAGTACGTGAAGTCCATGAACGGCTGTAAGTGATCTCCAAGTAGCTGAAGGTATCCATTTCCAGTCAATGATCGGTTCAGTTGCACCAGAGGACCGAGTCCATGCCATGTAAAAACAGCCCAGACCATTATGGAACCACCACCAGCTTGAACAGTGCCTTGTTGACAACTTGGGTCCATGGCTTCGTGGAGTCTGTGCCACACTCGAACCCTACCATCAGCTCTTACCAACTGAAATCGTGACTCATCTGACCAAGCCACGGTTTTCCATCCGTTTAGGGACCAACCGATATGCTCACGAGCCCACGAGAGTCGCTGCATGCAATGTCGTGCTGTCAGTAAAGGCACTCAAGTCAGTCTTCTGCTGGCATAGCCCAAGGAAGACAAATTTCGCCGCACTGACCTATTGGATACCTCCCTCGTACGTCCCACATTGATTTCTGCGGTTATTTGACGCAATGTTGCTTGTCTGTGAACATTGACAACTCTACGCAGACATCGCTGGTCTCGGCCGTTAAGTGCAGGTGATCTCGGAATGTTGAATTCCCTAACGATATCCGAAATGGAATGATCCATGCGTCTAGCTCCAACTACCATTCCGCGTTCAAAGTGTGTTAATTCTCATCGTGCGGCCATAATCACGTCAAAGCCTCTTCACATGAATAACTTTAACACAAATGAAAGCCCTGCCAAAGCACTTCGCATTTATACATTTTCTACGCGATACTACTGCCATCTGTATATTTGCATATTGCTATCCCATGACTTTTGTCACTTCAGTGTAATACTTATTTGAAAATCTATACTAGAAGTTAATTCAAGTTAATATTGACCTGATAAAAATTGGAAACATTAAATAAAAATAAAGCTAAATCAATCAATATTTAGCAAAATCTTTACAATCCTAATAATTAACTATTAATACAAATGAATGAAATGACACTTCATTAAACTAGCAAAAATATAAAGTCATCTAAATTATGCCATTAACTTGTAAAATTAAACTCAATTTCATACTTATTTAACATTTCTAGGATATTCTTGACTTATCAGCCATGCCTTTCACTTCTAATGTCCAAAATAAACACAAGAAGAGTAAAATCTAGCTACAATTTAAATGTACTACAACTCATGAACATAAACTAAAACTTCACAAACTTAAAAAATTAGTGCTCCTTATGGTGTCTGGAATTTTAGCAAATTTTAAATATCTACCAAACAAATAATAATATAAATGCCAAATAATTTGATTCCGAAAATAGAAGATCAATCTCTTAAGCTCAAATACTAGCAAAAGCCACAAAAGCCCTTCCTGATGCCAGTTTACACTCTGGATCATTATTGCTCATTATTTAAAACCTGTTTAATTTATATTTCTAGTGGAGATGAAAGAAAATGGTAGGAGTAAGATTAAACTTAAAAATAACATATTTACTAAAATAAGCCTTATAAAGGGATCACATGGGCTAGGAACCCTTAAAAAATGCACAAATCCACTATGCTTATTTCTTCAAACTGGAAAGATATATCTGATTTTTGTACTACTAAATTGGAAGATGAGTTCCATATCAAACTTACACCCCTGGACTGTGACATAGAATTTCAGAAAGGGGAGCCTTCTGGTTCTTACTGATGACCTACAAGTTGAGTAATATACTTCATAAAGAAGTACTACATTAGTATAAATATTAGCTAACCAAATGAATATTTCCAGCTCTTGCCAACAAAAGCAACCATGAAACTACCCATGAACTTCAGCTCTTACGACAAGAGGGGAAAGTTCAATGTACAACTGTGGGCCTCATTTTTAAAGCTCCCTGTTCTGGCCTGAAGTACTGCCAATCACACCTCCTGCCCCAGCAATTGGGCATTCCTACTTCGCTGAGGATAAGAAAAAGGAGAGATGACTGAATCCTAGCGACCATGATGCTCACCTAATGGGATCTCAACTAGAAACCAGGGTCTTGTGTACTTTTTCTTCTGAACCAAAACACACAAAATGTAGATATCAATGAAAACAATAAATGTCCCTAAAGGATAAAATTATCCACGAAATAGTAAATTAAAAAGCAGGATCAACCCATTATAAGAGAAGAATAAATTCCTATTTACAAGACGCTGGTCAAATTTTAGTTTAATATTTGGACACTACATCAGATACTACATTTTGATCTTAACTAAGAAGCTGACAAAGACTTCCACGTAGTTCAAAATAGAGAAAAAAAAATCAGGAGATACTGGATTATGGATTAAATTCAATAAATGAAGTTAAATACACCTGCAGTATGAAAAAAGAAGCAACAAGCAAGAAAAAAGCTGCTTTCTGCAGTGTTCACCAAACATAAAATTTCATATAAATACTAGCAATTCTTTCATAATTTCACTCAATGGTAGCTTTGTAAATAATATACAGATTTTTTGAGTAATTAAAAAAGTACTTCTACAGATTTGCACATATTCATATTTAAGAAAAGTTATTTCAATTCTTGTGATGTATGACGTTTTATATAACTGCAATAGTATACAAAATGTGAACCACTAATATCACATATTTCCCTTCAAATTCAATAATTATTGCTTACGTGATTTTGAACATATATACCAAGAAGTTACAGAAGAGAAATATGAAATTAATCAGGCATTTAATTATACTGACTATATAGTGCATATACATAAATTTTTTTAATCGTACAATTAAAAATACTTATTACTATTATAACTGATTATATACTGTTAACAGATTATTCCTTACATAGCACCCTCCCCTTATATATATATACCATTACCTGTTTTTTTGTTAATTATATGCATGCTTTTTTAAAAGTAGGTGCATAACTATTTTATTTATGTGAATCATGTCTTATGTAGCATATTGCCCATTTAGAGGTTTCATTATTATGATTTAATTTTCTATGCAGTATTTAATCTATATTTTTAGTATACATCACATTATCTAAATACACTTTAAAAATTAACCTTAAATTTACAATTAAAAATTCTTCAGCTTATTTAGCATTTTAAAAACCTTATCATTAATCCTATAAACTACTAACTACAAATTTCACAATAGATAATTTTTGGTGCCACTTTATATTATGAATATATATATATACCATATATTCTGACACATAATATGCACTTTTAATGCAAAAAAAAAAAATAAGATCGAAATTTACAGGTATACATTATACGCCAGATATAAAAATGATGAATTTTAAAATAAGCAAAAGATGAGCGTGCAAAAATTAGATTTCTATATGCACCTGAGTGCTATTTATTTAAAATAAATGACATAGCTTATGAACTTAAAAATTTTCATTATCAGATAATATGAAAAGTTCAGCTTGGTGATGTCTTCCGTTACATCTCCAAGCACATCATTGAATTCCGTTTCATCTTCATCATCTCAAGGCCTATCCACACGAGTACGCTCGCGACATATTTGACGCAATTATTTTTTGCATATTTTTTGGACGGGCCTTTACTCTAATCCATAAATAAATAATCATCTTCCTTTCCATCTACATTATTGAAAATACTATATTGTTTAAATAGCTTTTGAATAACTTCATTCTGTGCTTTTATTATCCATGCATACATTATTTCTAGACTAGCATAATGCATTGGACATAAAACGATTTTGTGTGTTGTGAAATTTGTAAAAACATACCATTATCATTAAGTACAAGGTGTCTGAAATGGAACTATCATGCTACCTGATTAGAAACATCATTTACTTCCAGTTCGATTGCAAGAAGTCAGGTACAGAATGCCATCAAATAATGTATACAGCTTTAAGAACTAATGTTGTAGCATATGAAACTGCGGAAGTTTGGTACCGAGAGTTCAAAAACAAGGACTATGACATTCAAGAGGCAAGGCACTCTGGCCGGCCTACTGATGTTGATGAGGCCTGCCTACTAGAACTTTCAGTATGCAACCACTCGAGAGCTTGCTAAGGAGTTAGACCTTAGTACCCTGTCCATCAGTCGTGCTATGCACTGCATAAAAATATTTTTCTAACTTTTTAAAAAATGTTTTTTGGTGGAAAACTTTTGTTATAACCAGATACATATACACACACACACATTAAAAGTTACTCTAAAAGAAATATTTTAATTTATTACTAAACATACGTTAAATAATGACTGCATTAAATTTGCATAACAGGGAATCTACAAGGGGTGAAAATTTCATCTTACGCATCAAAAGGCAAAAAGACATCTTTCGTTCCAACATCTTCTGGAGTTTCAGCTAAGCTACCCATTAGTGAATTAGGGCTATCAGAATGGTCAGAATTGTTTGAATCTGATCTACTGAAAGACTTCCGATACTCATCTTTTGAATGCTGAAATTACAAATAATAATTTAAAATTAAAACTAGTGAATAAAAATATAATGCACAAACAATAAATTATTAAAATGCAGGATTTTTCCTCAAAATTAATTTAGCTTCAGTCTTAAAACCCCTTCTTACCAGAGTTCGTAAACATTTCTCAACACAGAAATTAAGGACTTTTAAGGAGCATTAATGAAAAAAATTAAGGATCTATGAGCAAATGGGAACTGAATAATTTTAATTAAAAATATTATCTATGCCTGAATTTCACTTTTGTAATACCATCCTAAAAATAAAATAGATCGGTAAGTAGGCTGCATTATTATCAAACATAAATTAACATAATTATTAATAAGTTTGAGAATAAATAAACTTTATGAAATTTATTAAATAGCATTAAATATTTTACTTATAATAGTTGGACATGTTTGAAAGAAGATAAGTGACATTTTATTTTCGTTTTACTAACAGTTAGCTTTATGTTGATTTTGTTTATGTCTCATTTTGTCACATAATTTTTACTTTTTATGCCCAGCATACGTTAAAATGAGAAGTAAAATCAAAATCAGCATGATTCATAATAAAAGAGTGGCTGCTGTCACTGCTACTGCTTGCCTAGAGAGAGATCTGCTGATCAGAACAAACCTGAAAGGCCTGATGTAGGCACAGTTGGGAAGTTTTGAAAGTTAATTGGGCTTTGTCCGACGCAGTTAGTATCATAGCTTTGTGTAAAGTTCTAGGGCTTGTAATCCAGTTAATATACTTTAAGGTTCCAATAAGCAACTAAAGCACCAGAGGTGATGAAATGTTTTGCATTATTTGAAGTCCCGCTAAATATGAAGAATACATTTTACATGAATTCTTACAATTTTGTGTTTTATCATGTGACCACAGTAAGGATTAATGAAAGGCAATAATTCGCTTTAATATGCAACAGATAATTTCTAAGGGTAAGTAGTTAGTCATAAATAATTAAATTAGGTTGTTAGATAACCTTAGTCATTATCAATTTATGTGGCCATTATTAAATTTTATGTATTTTTTAACAATATGTGTTAAAAAAAGCACTACTAAAATCCCAATCTAATATAATTTCACAGTTTAAAATACATGAAATTTATGACATAAGATTCCTAAACGATATTAGGATAATTACACATTTTAAAAGCTACATTTAACAAATTTAATAGCAGCAACATTTAACAAAATATTTATGCGTCTTTTTAATTTGAAGCCTTCCCAGACATTTTGGCTTAATTATATCTATTTTTTTTTTTTCCCCTTTAAGTACCTTTTCTAATAATTAGAAATTGGTCTCACGCAAACCAGTGTTCTCACTAGTTTCTGCATGCTTTATCTCCTAACTTGACCTCTCCTCAATGTACTTATGAGAGTTTACTTGATCTGGTAAAAGTTAAAAGTCCCAAACTCTCCGACAGATGTGAAGCAAATTATTGCATGTCTGAAAGTAACTACAAAGTCAGACAAAGGCTTAAACAAGCCTCGTATTTAAAAAGAACTTAGAGCATAAAGGCATGTTCCGATGCTAACAAAATCAATTACAGTTTGTGGTGATGTAATTAATTAAGAACAGTCAAATTCAAACTAAAAATGTGGAGTAGTGGTCAAAGAGTATACAATTTGATTTAAATTTAAACTGGCTCAGTAACTCTATCATCATAACAAATTCTAATGTTGGCATCGATAATGTAAAGACAAATAATTACAAATCATCAGAACTGGCAGGAACTAATGCAGCAAGCAAGCAGAGGACAGAAAATCCATTTTTGAAGCATAAGACACTGTCTTATGCTCCAAAAACCTCAGTTTAAAAACTGTCTAAGTGATTTGCATTCTGGTGAGGAAATAGAAATGGGAAATTATAGTAAAGGCTTAAATTATAAACAACTGCATAATTTATATAATAATAACTGTCTGTATCTTTGAAGAATAATTTTTTCACAATTATTGCAATTTTATCTTTCATGAATAATTTATATTCAGTTTCTTTCTTCAACACATTTTCTTTTCATTTTAGAATTTCTGGATTTAAATAAAGATTTCTGTTATTCTAAAAAAACAAAATGCATTTAGAATGCATAGAAAAAGCGGCTAATTTTAATTCTTTAGTAATATGAACATTCAGAAGAAACATGAAATATATATGGTAAGGGCCGGTCAGAGAGCTGGTGAGGCCGAATTTTTTTAATTTAGTGACACACCGAGCAACAAAATCTAAAAATGGGAAAACTTAGAATTTAGAGCAGGCATTGGAAGCAGAATTTAGAAAAGCACTAAGCAGCAGAATTTTGAATCCACAGAGATTGCATCAGTTGGGAAAATACCAACTCCAGCCCTGTGTATGATGCATTAAGACATATTAGATCAGGGTTCCTTAAACTTTTTTCAGTCGTGACTCCTTTTTATCACTGAGATTTTTCCGTGACCACCAGGACTCCATACTATTTACGAAAATTTTGTGGGACCCAATAAGTATTGCGCAAATCCGACACACACGTGAGCGAAACTGTCAATTTTTTCACTTGCACTGTAATCTACTATTGCAGTTTTAGGTCATTAACTTTAATTTCTAATTTTAAGACATAGAACAATGTGAAAATTTTAAATAAGTAACAGACGAAATGACAGTGCAAGGAAAATGAAATGAAAGATTACATTCTTTTAATAATGTAAACTTTCATTTTCCTTGCAAAGCACCAATGAGGAATGCATTGAAACAGTTTAGTTTTTTTCTTTGTCTGTATTGTCTTATCTTTATCTATTTTCAGATACATCACGTAAAAATATTTGGTAATTGTGAAATTATTATAATAAGTTAAAGAAATATCAAAACTGTTAAAATTTTTGGTGACCCACAGTTCAAGAAACCCTATATTAGATGAATCTTTTAAATTGCCCATTTTCAATTTCTTTATTAATAAAAAAATTCCTTTCTATAATGCCTGTCCATGTGATAAGTTTAGGAGCATTCTTGACATTTTCCATGCTTGTGTCTAATGAAAAAGTAGAGAAAATAAAGGGAAGATAAACATGTTAAGAAAAAAAATTGTAGTATCAGAAGTAAAACATTCAAATATTATGCTATCATTATTCATCCAGCCGTTCTCCAAAAAGTAAGAAATTCATAATAAACTTTCTGTAAAATACATCCATTATGAGTTAATATCATGGAAGCATTTTTTATTTTGTCATATTTTTCTGGAATCTTCTAGAATTGTGGGTCTATAAATCTTGCCTTCAAATCCTTCTAAACTTTCAAAGCTGCAATGCCTAAAATCCTAAAGAGAAATTATCCCTGAATATTCTGAGACAATTACACGGGAAAAACTTTTACTCTAAACAAATTAAAAAGAAGACATTTTTAATTAATTACATAGCTATTTTCCATTTGCTAAGAACTGTTTCAGAAATTGTGGATAGCATTATACCTTGCTTATTTTTTGAATTCAAAATATTATATAATAATAAGTGACCCAAAAAGAAATTTTTATATGACAGCGAAAATAAAAATGTTTTATTTTAATCAATTTTTTAATACAATTTCAATATATTACCCTTATTTTAAAGAAATTTATCAATGTTACAATATTAAAAAAAAAAAAAAAAAGTCATCGAAAAATTCCCAGATCTCGGAATTAAAAATTTTCTACAGAAACTTATCTTAAAATCACCAAAATGTTCATAAGTCGTTAAATTTTTAACAGTTTAATAAAAGAATTCACATCCCTAAAAGCGAAAAGTTGTTTAAGAGCTCTTCATTAGAAAAAAATTAAATGATTTCGAAATGCTTATGTTTTACTTCTTGCTCAGAAACTCGAGCATCCCACCATTTAGATTTGAAATAGGAACAAATGAAGCCCATTCAAAAGATAAGCATATTTGTCAGTGAATCGCCAAAAATATTCCTCCAAAATGCTAATTCACACACAAAATAGCAATCGTAAAAATAGGCAGAAATTTCAGACAATTAAAATTAAAGACCTTCTGCCGATTTTGGCCGATATTAAGGACTTTTATAGACCAAAAATCAGTTCCAAAAAACCTAAGGACTTTTAAGGACCATGCGAACCCTGTTTACTTATAAGGGGAGGGGAAATATTAAAATGAGTGGCTATCACATTAAAAATGAATTTATTATACTCTCATCAGCTGTGGAATTTTTATGTGGATCACAGTAGTGGAATGGTCTTTATAATAAACAGATGTTATAACAAGCATATAAATAAACTTTTACAAATAATTAAAAGTAACTAAGATTAATGAAAATTGTTAAAACACACAGGATTTTCATCTTACAAATAATGCTGTTTACACAGGCTCACATTTTTAATATATACATAGCTACATAGCACTCTCTTTATAGGTAGGTATGTAAGTGTGTGCGTGCGAATGTATATATATATCTATATACGGTGGCCATAAAATAACTTTCCTGATAAATGAATTCATAGTGGCCTATCTGCTCAACCAATCACACCCACTTTTTTTTTCTGCCCAAATTGATCACCGCATTGAAAAACCATAAACAGCATTGGAATGATACATTTATCACAAAAATTGCCAGTATAAAATATTTATAAACAACTGCATTGTAAAGGACCAATGAAGGAAGGGTTAGAAACTTTTATAGGAATTATCAATTTTCTATGTGTAAAATGTTTCAAGACAAGTCATCTTCCATAGCCTTGCAGTTTCGTGGCCAACATGATCCTCCGAACTCACTCCAATGGATTTCTGGTTCTGGGGTTATCTGAAATTAAAGGTGCACATATCAAATCAACAAGATTTGTCAGAATTGAAAGATGCTATAAACCATGTAGCTATACAGATTCCACCGGCTATATAATATTCATCACTATTGTCAATAATCCCCATACAATGCTATCATACGCTAAGGTGAGCAAAGTTTAAATTTGTAATTCCCATAAATGTTTTTTTTTTTTTTTCCCCTTCTGTATTGTAACTGGTCCTTTACAATGTTCTTACC